CACACTGTTTATGGAGTCTGACCCTTTAACAAGGCAACAATCTCACTGTGTTTCCCCACGTACAGTGTTCCTCTTGGCTCATACAGCACTTGTATTATTGAGATGAAGACATTCGGGATCCAAGTATGTCGGATATTTAAAAACTTATGAATACTTAATATGTGGGATGACACGTCCAACCAACTTGCCGCCGGGGAATGTGGAAACACACAAGTGACAAAATAAAACACTTTCCACTGAATGTTTACTGGTGGTATGAGGCGGGTCAGTAAGTCCTCTGAGCTGCAGTAGTAGTCGGGAAAGGACGTGAAGTCCAATTTGGCAGCAGGACGCTGCTTCTGGAAACTTTCCTTATTAAGGCTACTCATGGCCCAGTCGATCCAGCTTCGACCCCACACACATGGTGTCCACGGTTCGGGTCTCCTAGACCCCCGGTGAATGGAAAGTCTGATGTAAACTCTGTGAAACTAATATAGTTTAGATATGTAAACTGTAAATGTGGATGATGATAATCACAGCCTGGTCGGTCAGGTATCCTTTGGAGGTGTTTATAAGTTCTCTTGAACAATGTGAGGGGTCCGCCAGTTATGCCCCTTATGTGTAGTGGAAGCGTGTTGAACAGTCTCTGGCCTCTGATGTTGATAGTTCTCCCTCAGAGTACCTGTTGCACCTCTGCTCTTCAACGGGGGTATTCTGCACATCCTGCCATGCCTCCTGGTCTAGTGTGATATAATGTGTTCAAATTTAGAACCAGTCCCTCTAATATCTTCCATTAATGTAGATTAACTTCCACGTGTAGATTATTATGCATCTCTCGCCTGCGCTCTAGAGAATACAGAATTAGACTTTTTAATGGGTCCCAGTAGTAGAGATGACCTTTAGAGTGGATTCTAGCGGTAAATGGTCTTCGCTAATTCCTAACAGGGTTTGAGACTAGTATGCGTGTATTTAATTTGTACCTTCGAATGTACATCTGTATCAGTTCTTGTCTATATTTTACGAATAAAATAGATTTGATTTAATAATAAGTACAGTACAGTATATGCAGGGAGAGGGAGAACACACACACTGTCCGCGCCCCACTAAGCCCTATACCCTGGAAACACAAACCGAAACTGTCTCTATTTTCCGCTTGTTACAACTTGTAATAAAGTTGTTACATCTTGGCTTAACGTGTTTATGACGTATTAGAACGTTGTTACAACTTGCTATATTGGTTGTTATAACTGGTTAGGAGGGGTTAAAACTTGTTCGAACGTTGTACCAACGTCGTAGTTTCGGTGTGTGTTTGGTGGGATATACCTTTAAATACAATTTAGAAGTGTTTGTGGACTAATGAGGCGCTGGCCTCACTATATCACTCACTCACCAGGGGCCTGATAGCTGAGTGGACAGCGTTCTGGAATCGTAATCTTAGGGTCCGGGTTCGATCCCCGGTGATGGCAGAAACAAATGGGCAGAGTTTCTTTCACCATGATGCACCTGTTCACCTAGCAGTAAATAGGCACCTGGGAGTTAGACAGCTGTTACGGACTGCTTCCTGCGGGAGGGTGGGTTGGGGACATTAGTTAGTAACAGTAGATTGAGAGGTGAGAGGCGGGGCCAAAGAGCCGAAGCTGGACCCCCGCACGCACAACTGGGCGAGTACAACAGTTGCGAGCTCTGCCACCTGAGGGGCAGTAGTATAGGTAACTTGTCTCCCTGTCCCGCCACGGGCGCCTCTACGGAACACACACAGCAACTAGGGCATGACCTTGTCTGCCTGTGTCAGGGCGTGACAGGTGTGTGGAGGGGGGACAAGGACAGGGCGTGACAGGTGTGTGGAGGGGGGACGGGGCGTGACAGGTGTGTGGAGGGGGGACGGGGCGTGACAGGTGTGTGGAGGGGGGACGGGGCGTGACAGTGTGACAGACACGCACCACAGACAAGCACCAACTGTCACACCATCCACGGAGGGTTTCACTCGAGTTTCCCAGAGGAATGTTAAATGAATCGCGGCGTGTTGAGGCTATGGGACATTAATCTCTCCTCAACCCGTTCTCGCACCTACTTAATCCATATCTTGCTTATGAATAAGTGCATATGTGACATACTAATTTATTTTGAATATTTGAGTTTGAACCTGAAAAGCTGAATAGAAAACCCCAACCTAACCTAACCTTAGTATGTTAAGATATTACAATTAGTACTGAACCTATACATACATTGATATTAGTTTTATAAAAAATAATAAAACAAAACTAAAATATTTAAATAAATTGTAAAGTAACTCAGGATATTGCCAAATGTTGTATAAAATCTCTATTGTTTAATAAAACTGAGAGAAAAAATTAGTGCCTTGAAAAAAAATATGGCTTGGAATATGTCACATATTTACTTATTTATAAGCCAAATAGTGATTATAAGCAATAAGTGCCTGGACTTCATGCGAGGTGTGCCAGGGTGGGGGGTAGGCAGCAACAGTGAGTGTACCCTGCACGGTACAGGTACCCTCTTGGGCCAGCCCGGCCTCCTAATAGAGTATACGTAGCCTCTACCTGAGGCTAAACATTCTTACTAGAAAATGGAAGCGGCTGGCGAAAGTGACGTACTGGCCCGTTTTCTGTTTTGGGTTCTCTGGTAGGTTAGGATTAGGGCACTTTAGTACACCAGTTTCTTGACGTTGGAAGAGAAGCAGTCTCCGTGGTGTAGTGGTAAGACACTCGCCTGGCGTTCCGCGAGCGCTGTCATGGGTTCGTATCCTGGCCGGGGAGGATTTACTGGGCGCAATTCCTTAACTGTAGCCTCTGTTTAACGCAACAGTAAAATGTGTACTTGGATGAAAAAACGATTCTTCGCGGCAGGGGATCGTATTCCAGGGACCATAGGATTAAGGACTTGCCCGAAACGCTACGCGTACTAGTGGCTGTACAAGAATGTAACAACTCTTGTATATATCTCAAAAAAAAAAAAAAAACACAGACGGGCTGTGTGGGGGGGGGGTGTCAGTGTAGCAGGGAGGGAGGCACGCTGTGAGCCGGGCCCTTGAGCCACAACCTGACTCCCGCTTATGGCAATCCTTACATATATTTTTTGTGTATAATCCGAAAAATGAAAGTTGAAAACTAAATTTATATATTCCTAGGCCTACTGTAGCACATGTTCAGTACTACAGAAGTGTTTCTGGTGGTCCATCACGACATATTTGTGAGTACTCTGATGATGTTAGGATGGCTGTTTACCACCTCCCCCCCCCACCCCCAACCCAGGCCCCTCTCTACCCCAGCGAAGGGCCTATAAAATGTTTGGACTAGAGGGGTTATGGGTTATTCATACCCGCGCCACCTCTTGGGTGACACGGGTATGAATAGCCCGTAAGTGCTTAATCTTCAAGGTCATTAACAAGGGAGACATCTCCCGTCACGCAGGGTGCATTCGCACCTCCACAGATCACCAGTATCAGCTCTTGATACTGGTGATGGCTCAAAAGGGCCACCACTTACGGCCTATTCATGCCCGTGCCACCTTTTGGGTGGCTTAATCTTCATCAATCAATCAATCTTAATCTTCATCTATTACCCCTTTACGGGCTCACCATAGCCCGTGCTACATGGACACTTCGTTCCGAGTAGCTAAATCACCACCACTCACCAGAGGACCACAGTGACAGTACTGGGACTCGCCAGTCATCCCTCATAATACTGCAGGCGAGGAGTCACAATAACGTGGCTGAAGTATGTTGACCAGACCACACACTAGAAGGTGAAGGGACGACGACGTTTCGGTCCGTCCTGGACCATTCTCAAGTCGATTAAGAATGGTCCAGGACGGACCGAAACGTCGTCGTCCCTTCAACTTCTAGTGTGTGGTCTGGTCAACACCCTCATAATACTGACTGTTGTGCTACGAATGTTGAGAATCCTTTACTACTAGTTTGGTAGGGGTGAACATTGAGAGTTCAGTAACAATAATTGTAAAGCTTGGCTTGACTGACACGCCTGAAGTAACACACGGAGCATTAACATGTGTGTCTCAATGAGGAAATCGAAAAAAAAAAGTTTAATGGTAGAGTTCGCGACTGGCAATGCCAGGGTGCAGGGTTCGCGCCCCCGTCATTGTCCTAGTGGTAGTTCTCAGGCCTCGAGTATGTACCTGTTAAGGGTGAGAAATGGGACGACCTATTAACAAAATTTTAAGGTGTTACTTGTGATACTACTTAAATAATTACAATGTTTGAGTACTACGTTAATGTGAATGTTTACACCGCTCGCTATACTGGGAGAAACAATTAGCTCAGTTCTTACAAGACGAGCCGGATCAACCAAGCTGTAGTGTGAGCCTGCGAGCAGCTGCAAGTAAGTGTTCGACCAAGTTATCGCAATTCAAGCCTATCCTCAGGCCTGGGCCTGGCTCGGGGAGTAGAACTCTAGAGACCCTCTCCAGGTAAGACCTGGAGCTTACCTGGAGAAGGTTTCGAGAGTTGTGCTACTCCCAGAGCCCGGGCCCAGGCTTGACTTTTAGTAAGTTGGTCCAAACAGTTGTTGGTTGAAGCGTATATTGGAGTCCTGGACTATGCTGAGGGCTAAATTATACGTGCTGGCTGGTTATAAAGAATTGTGGAGGTGTTGATAGGCCTTTAGCCCACCACCAGGTGTGGAGGTGTGGGGGGGGGGAGCCCACCAGCAGGTGTGGGGGGGGTGGAGCCCACCACCAGGTGTGGGGGGGGGGAGCCCACCACCAGGTGTGGGGGGGGGGAGCCCACCACCAGGTGTGGGGGGGGGGAGCCCACCACCAGGTGTGGGGGAGTTTAGTCACACAAAAACTGTTCATAAATGCTGTCCATTTGCTTTACCCACAATCCCGGTACAGACTCCCATCATTGTCAGTGATTTACTTGCATGTGGACCTCGTTATTAATTACCCATAACCCGGGTAGTTGAACCTTCCTTATATTAATAACACTAAAGCTTGTTAGGAGACTCAGAGTTTGAAGTCATGTTAACATTTTGTGTTGTCCGCAGGGCTGAGGAGGAGAGGGAAGGAACCGGGCCTGCTGCTGCTGCTGCGTCCTGCTGCGCCTGCTGCTTGCGTCACCCCTGCGTCAAGCGACGCGCCAAACTGCGTAAGGTCATGGGTTGCTTCCTGCAGAAATTCGACAACTTTCTCAACCGGTCGTTCTGCCGGCTGGGGCACACGATCGCCGGGCACTACGGTTACTTCATCATCGTGCCCATCTTCCTGTCCGCCATCTTGGCCACGGGGTTCCAGAGGATCAGGTACGAGGATGACCCCGAGTACCTCTTCTCCCCCACCACGGGGTCAGCCAGGAACGAGAGGGCGGTCATAGAGGAGAACTTCTACCTCAACTTCAGTTCGGACTTCCACCCGTCGCGTCTGACCCGCACGGGGCGCTTCGCCAGGTTCATCATAACAGCCAAGGACAACGGAACGCTCCTCCGCACCCACGTGTGGGACGACATCGTTAAGGTGGACCGGCTGGTGCACTCTGTGAGCGCCAAGCTCGACGATAACAAGGTGGTGAGGTACGACGACCTGTGCGCCATCTGGGACAGCAAGTGCTACGAGAACAACGTGTTGGCGCTCCAGGAGCTGATGCCGCAGGTGGAAAATGGCACTTTTAACATCACTTACCCACTCATGCTCAACCCCAGCACCTTCGAGACCTACGTCTTCCCGCACTTCTTCGGCGGCCCCGTCGTGAACAACGACAGTGTCGTGGAGAGTGTCCAGGCGCTCTCTATCTTCTACTGGCTCAAGACCAACACTCCCAAGCAGGACGCTGAGTAAGTGTCGCTCCTCCTGCCTGTGTTTGGGGCCGCCTTGTGTAGGGTTATTGTGGGTCCCTGGGGGTGTAGGGTGGGCATGGTGGGTCCCTGGGGGTGTAGGGTGGGCATGGTGGGTCCCTGGGGGTGTAGGGTGGGCATGGTGGGTCCCTGGGGGTGTAGGGTGGGCATGGTGGGTCCCCGGGGGTGTAGGGTGGGCATGGTGGGTCCCGGGGGGTGTAGGGTGGGCATGGTGGGTCCCCGGGGGTGTAGGGTTAGTGTGGGTCCGGTGGGTATAGGGTGGGCATGGTGGGTCCCCGGGGGTGTAGGGTGGGCATGGTGGGTCCCTGGGGGTGTAGGGTGGGCATGGTGGGACCCCGGGGGTGTAGGGTTAGTGTGGGTCCGGTGGGTGTAGGGTGGGCATGGTGGGTCCCTGGGGGTGTAGGGTGGGCATGGTGGGTCCCTGGGGGTGTAGGGTGGGCATGTTGGGTCCCCGGGGGTGTAGGGTGGGCATGGTGGGTCCCCGGGGGTGTAGGGTTAGTGTGGGTCCGGTGGGTATAGGGTGGGCATGGTGGGTCCCCGGGGGTGTAGGGTGGGCATGGTGGGTGTGGGTCCCCGGGGTGTAGGGTGGGTGTGGGTCCCCGGGGTGTAGGGTGGGCATGGTGGGTGTGGGTCCCTGGGGGTGTAGGGTGGGCATGGTGGGTGTGGGTCCCCGGGGGTGTAGGGTGGGCATGGTGGGTGTGGGTCCCCGGGGTGTAGGGTGGGCATGGTGGGTGTGGGTCCCCGGGGTGTAGGGTGGGCATGGTGGGTGTGGGTCCCCGGGGTGTAGGGTGGGCATGGTGGGTGTGGGTCCCCGGGGTGTAGGGTGGGCATGGTGGGTGTGGGTCCCCGGGGTGTAGGGTGGGCATGGTGGGTGTAGGTCCCCGGGGTGTAGGGTGGGCATGGTGGGTGTGGGTCCCCGGGGATGTAGGGTGGGCATGGTGGGTGTGGGTCCCCGGGGATGTAGGGTGGGCATGGTGGGTGTGGGTCCCCGGGGATGTAGGGTGGGCATGGTGGGTGTGGGTCCCCGGGGATGTAGGGTGGGCATGGTGGGTGTGGGTCCCCGGGGATGTAGGGTGGGCATGGTGGGTGTGGGTCCCCGGGGATGTAGGGTGGGCATGGTGGGTGTGGGTCCCCGGGGGTGTAGGGTGGGCATGGTGGGTGTGGGTCCCCGGGGGTGTAGGGTGGGCATGGTGGGTGTGGGTCCCCGGGGGTGTAGGGTGGGCATGGTGGGTGTGGGTCCCCGGGGGTGTAGGGTGGGCATGGTGGGTGTGGGTCCCCGGGGGTGTAGGGTGGGCATGGTGGGTGGGGGTCCCCAGGGGTGTAGGGTGGGCATGGTGGGTGGGGGTCCCGGGGGTGTAGGGTGGGCATGGTGGGTGTGGGTCCCTGGGGGTGTAGGGTGGGCATGGTGGGTGTGGGTCCCTGGGGTGTAGGGTGGGCATGGTGGGTGTGGGTCCCCGGGGGTGTAGGGTGGGCATGGTGGGTGTGGGTCCCCGGGGGTGTAGGGTGGGCATGGTGGGTGTGGGCCCCCAGGGGTGTAGGGTGGGCATGGTGGGTGTGAGTCCCTGGGGGTGTAGGGTGGGCATGGTGGGTGTGGGCCCCCAGGGGTGTAGGGTGGGCATGGTGGGTCCCTGGGGGTGTAGGGTGGGCATGGTGGGTCCCTGGGGGTGTAGGGGGGGCATGGTGGGTGTGGGCCCCCAGGGGTGTAGGGAGGGCATGGTGGGTCCCTGGGGGTGTAGGGTGGGCATGGTGGGTGTGGGCCCCCAGGGGTGTAGGGTGGGCATGGTGGGTCCCTGGGGGTGTAGGGTGGGCATGGTGGGTCCCTGGGGGTGTAGGGGGGGCATGGTGGGTGTGGGCCCCCAGGGGTGTAGGGTGGGCATGGTGGGTCCCTGGGGGTGTAGGGTGGGCATGGTGGGTCCCTGGGGGTGTAGGGTGGGCATGGTGGGTGTGGGTCCCGGGGGGTGTAGGGTGGGCATGGTGGGTGTGAGTGTACTAACACCCTTCTCTCTCTCTCCCGCCACAACAGCGCCGCGCGGTGGGAAGACGCACTACTTGCCGCCATGTTCGAGAGGGACTTCGGTAGCGTGAAGGTGGCGAGGTTCGTGTCCCGCACGCTGGAGACGGAGCTGGAGAACAACACCAACTCCGTGGTGCCGTTCTTCGGGGTGACGCTGGCTATCATGGTGTTGTTCAGCGTGTGTTCCGTGATGATGGGTGACTGGGTGAGGACCAAGCCCTGGCTGGGGTTGATGGGGGTCATCTCCGCCGGCCTCGCCTGCGCCGCCGCCTTCGGCTTCCTCATCTACCTCGGGGTAGAGTTCATCGGCATCAACATGGCGTCGCCCTTCCTCATGCTGGGTGAGTAACCGCCCTCTTGGCGCCAGTTTTGAACTTTGTTGTTGGGTCTTGGACGCTCATGGCGGCCTGCTACCGTTGGGTGTTACACTCCAGTGTCACTGTAGCCTTCCCCAGGAGTGTGGAGGTGTACAACTACACAAGTGTGCCCTAGTCACGTCGCTGGAAGACAGGAGAGCTCTGGGAGACATGATCACCACATACAAAATTCTCGGGGAATTGATTTGGGGGAGAAGGATGGATTATTTAACACGGGTGGTACACGCACAAGGGGACACAAGTGGAAGCTGAGTACCCAAATGAGTCGGACATTAAAATGACTTTTCTATCTCGGTAGTTAACAAATGGAATGCATTAGGCAGTGATGTGGTGGAGGCTGACTCCGTACACAGTTTCAAGTGTAGATATGATAGAGCCCAGTAGGCTCAGGAACCTGTACTGTCAGTTGATTTAGAGTCGAGAGGCGGGACCCAAGAGCCAGAGCTCAACCCCGCAAGCACAACTAGGTAAGTGCGGGATGGGTAGGGGGACCCCCCCCCCCGACACTCCCCCTGGGGTAATGGGGTGGGGCGGCATATATTGAACCTGAAAAGCCAAGGTTAGTTATATACACTGGAGGACAGGCAAATTAGCCTCGCGCTGATCTAAGCATTTCACCGTTTAAACGCCCAAATAGCCATTAGTGTTTTTTTTTTCAGGGATATTCCTGTGCGGCCCATAAGCCTGTGGCTGGCCCACTAAGTGTTGCTTGTTTGTTTTACTTGGGCGGAGTATGAGTACTTTTGACTCGTATGGTCGCTTCAGTAAGATGTACCCATTAGTTGACTGTCCTGAGAACTTACTTATCAGCAAGGTTGATATGAGGCAGACAAGGGCTCACATCTTCAAGCCACATTAGAGTACAGAAAACAGCAGATGGTTCTTCACCCACAGGGTGGAACCGCCTACCCGCCGAAACCGTGAAGGCCAATTCGAAACACACCTTAACAAATCGTCTAACAATGGGAGGAAATTTGATGTCTGTCCCTGTGGAAGCCACTAGAGATGGCCTTCAGGCACGGTCAGGTACATTACCACGGGTCCGTCTAATTACCACAAGCTACCACAAACTACACAAACTTCAGAAAGCTTCCTGGCAATACGTTAGTAATGAATAAATGATATATTAAGTTAGGCTAACCTATCCTAACCTAACCTATCCTAACCTATCCTAACCTATCCTAACCTATCCTAACCTATCCTAACCTAATCCTATCCTATCCTATCCTATCCTAACCTATCCTAACCTAACCTAACCTAACCGAAGCTTGGATCGTCGACTTGATTTGGCGTCACCAGCTTTTTATTTTCGTCTAATTTCTTTATAAAAAGATACTTTTTCAGATTAAAATTATGTTTTTTCGTGTTGTACATTCAGCACCAACATTATAATGAGTAAATATATCATATTTATTCATTACTAACGTATTGCCAGGAAGCTTTCTGAAGTTTGTGTAGTTTGTGGTAGCTTGTGGTAATTAGACGGACCGATTACCACAAGCACAGTGCACATTGAGAGAGAGTTTAACATTCCTATGCTCGCCGCCACGGGCCCACGACTCCTAAAACTCCACTTTTATAAAGACAGCCCAAGTTCCAGTAGCACGATCCCTGGTGTAATATTGAGAACAAGCTCGGATTCAAGCAATACTACAACTCTGCAACACCCCCGCCACACACCCCCCTCCCCCCACAACACACAAGGGAGCAAGTAAAGGGAAGGGAACTATTAGGGGAAATCGCCAAGCTATTAGGATTATATCACTGGGAAGGGATTAGGAAAAGGATTTGGGATGGGGGAAAGGAATGGTGCCCAACCACTTGTACGGTCGGGGATTGAACACAGGCCTCCATGAAGCGAGACCGTCGCTTTACCGTCCTGAAGCAAAGTGATGTGTAAGAATGAGGCCGGTCCCACTAACATCACACAATTCTAGTCTTGAAAGACTTAAGTCAAATCACCAGTTTTATGAAGAACAATGAACTTAACAATCCAGGTCGACATGGATTTAGAACGTGAAGATGCTGTCTTTCGCAATTACTCAACTACCGTGACAAAATCATAAAAGCATTTGAAACACAAAAATGCACATTGCATGCGAACTTTGCAAACACATTTTGCAAGTGTGACCATGGAGTGATAGAGCATTACACTGCGTGGACAACAATTGACAGGTAAAGCAGGATATAACCTGTCAAGCCCCGGGCAGGGGGGGGGGTGGCGGTCAAGCCCCACACCCAAGACACAGCACCTCATACATAAACACCACATGTCCATGATCTTGAGGATAACGTCTTGGCGACGTTCACATAGTGAACATAAAGGTAACATTGCATCAGGCAAGAACATTACAAAGGGTGGATGAACACCTCCAGTACCAGGTGAACACCAGTGTGTTCACGCTTTACTTAAATCACTCGTGTTCTCCCGTCTTGAGTACTGCTCGGTACTCCCCCCTTCACAGCGGGAGACATCTGACATACAGCGAATATAGAGCGCATAACGGCCTACATGAGCGCATAACGGCCTACATGAGCGCATAACGGCCTACATGAGCGCATAACGGCCTACATGAGCGCATAACGGCCTACATGAGCGCTTCATAGTAATACATTTTCAGATTATAATCGAGGGGGCAGGGGGTGGAGGGGAGGTTACTGGAACATGTCCCAAATATGTAACGGCAAAATAACCGGTCTCCGTGGCGCAGTGGTAACACACTCGCTCGGCGCTGTGGCCTGGGTTCGTATCCTGGCCGGGGAGGATCGACCGGGCACCAATCCTTAACTGTAGCCTCTGTTCCCTCGGTATCGAATGGTTACCTGGTTGTTAACCGATTTGGCGGGTCGTATTCCTGTAACACTGTAAAAGTGTTTAATACATACATAGAGTACATGAGTCACAGACAAGGATCTGAGAGGCGCCAGTTTGTCGGCCTGAGATCTCACACCTCAAAGCGTTAATGACCTCAAGTGACCTGAGGTCAGATCATGAGTACTGAGGGAGCATAGAGCATTGAAGCATTAAGACAACAGAGCAGACGAGCCAGGAGAGCAGAGAAGACGTCCCTAGCAGGGAGGCTGTCGGCCAGCAGGGGCGAGACAGTCTGTCAAGTTACATCCCGGGGAAAATTAGGATTAAGCACCTGCCTGAAACTGTGAGTGTGGCTGTACCAGACTGTAATAACTTTTGTGTATATAAATACATCAACTTGCTAGAGCGAGATACGACAACGTCGAATACTCCCAGTAAAGAGGAGAGGCACCACAGGCACAGAGAACATTGTATGAACATCACAGAACATTTGGGACGAGGTTGGACGCTCCACGGCTTCTTCTTGAGGTTATCTTGAGATGATTTCGGGGCTTAGCGTCCCCGCGGCCCGGTCCTCGACCAGGCCTCCACCCCCAGGAAGCAGCCCGTGACAGCTGACTAACTCCCAGGTACCTATTTACTGCTAGGTAAGAGGCATTCAGGGTGAAAGAAACTTTGCCCATTTGTTTCTGCCTCGTGCGGGAATCGAACCCGCGCCACAGAATTAAGAGTCCTGCGCGCTATCCACCAGGCTACGAGGCCCCAATTGGTCAACCTCCTGCCATATATAAGTAATATGAGGAACGCAAGTTGACCCGGCCAGAGTAACACAAATGTCTTGAAGTTGATGTGTTATCCTGCTGGCTGCCTCGGGCACACTCCAGGGTGTAGGGTACGACGCCCTCGGGCGGAGGCCTGCAGGGCGCCCCAGGACGGTACACAGGCTAGGGAGCAGCAGCAGCATGACGGTACACAGGCTAGGGAGCAGCAGCAGCAGCAGTAGGAGGCCTGCAGGGTGGGAGGGTACACAAGGATGCTGGCGGGGTCGTCCCGTGCCCCCAACTCTTCACAAGACTGCCCCAAGGAGCGCACACTGGTGCTACAAGATCCCCTAAAGGTCTTCAATAGCAACTTCTTGATAGACACGCTTCTTGCACGTGTGGGGCTGGACCCCCCACCCCTCCCCCCCAGCGGTACCCCCCCCAAGGTGTTGGTGTGTGGGGGGGAATGTTGATTGTGAGGGGGGAGGGGTGGCGGGTGGTGTTGGGTGAAAGGTGGTGTTGGGTGAAGCAACAGTAGTGAAAGTGTCCGCTGGGGGCGCCACCGACGCCAGCAACACACACCTGGTTAGGTTACATTGTTGCCCCCCCCCCCCTACCTCCCCTTCTCCCCACTCCTGGGGGAATGTTTCCTCTGTCTCCCCTCCCCCCCCCTCTAGAGGGGAAGGGAAACACCACACATACGGTATGCCGTATGTGTGGTGAAGGGAACCACATACTTGCGGTGTTTCACACGCCACCCCTTCCCCCCCCCCCTTTTTCCCCCAGGGTGGGGTGTCGGGGAGGTGGTAGCGTGTGACAGTGTGCGCGCCAACGTCCCCAACGTCAGCAAACTGGGGTACTAAAGTGCCCTTATCCTTATCTACCACAGGACTCAAAAACAGAAAACGGGACATTATATCCATTTCGCCAGCCGCTTCCATTTTCTAGTACGAAGACTTTTGGCCTTGAAGTACGTCAAAATGCGACGCGTTATTAGGGCGACGTGTTGCAGGGTGCATCAGACTCGTGCAAGACGCCCCTCGCTTCTCAAGATGTCCACCGCCTCTATGGAGTACTTAATTTGCAAATTTCAAATTTCATGACATTTAATGTGTTGAGTTTTGGTGGCAGCGCCCCCGGGGGTCATGGGGCCCTGACCCCCCCCCCTTATGGCGTGGGGCCCTGACCCCCCCCCCTTATGGCGTGGGGCCCTGACCCCCCCCCCTTATGGCGTGGGGCCTGGACCCCCCCCCCTTTTGGCTGGTGTCGACAGGGAGGTTATCAGGTTTTGCCAACATATAATAATTGTATAGTGGGGGGAGGAGGGGGGGGGGCACATTACACCCGGGTACAAGCGCGCACTGGGTGCCCCTGGGAGTGTGACGTCA